AACATTTGGCGTCCAGATCCTCACCGTCTGACGACTGATGAAACGTTACCGATTGGAGTATCCCTGATGGCTTGGATCTGGATGCAAGGTGGAATCTTCTGTACAACAAATGATGTCACTGATAGAGATGGTCGTTCCAGTCACAAAAGAAAGATACTTTGCCAGAGGTCCACCTTGTATTGTTTATAGATTGAGGGCGCTGATAAACAAGAGCCGGAGGTTATGGGATCATTTCAAGGTTATCCTTTCGGAGCGCGACTAATCGAGTTACAAATCACTTTGGAATCTTTGTGTCACACAACAGTGTATGAAACGGAAACTCTACTAAACTGCTTTAGCTGCACGATCCAGAACAACTCCAAAATGCTTTTCTCCTAGCTGAAGAAAAGTATCAAACCTGGTAGCGCTATTTTCGCCTTGCACTCCCCAGCCCAATGCCTTACTTCACGAAGACGCCGCGAAGGCTAGCCTCCTAGCCACGCAGTTTTCGTCTGTCTACTCAGTCGAGACACCGTTCTTCAATAAGGGTGTGCCCACCTTGTTCTCTCTTCTGAGGCACGTAAATATCAGTGTCGGTGATATCGTGAAGCTCCTTTTTCAGTCTGACCCGAATTCTTCTCCAGATCTTGATGCGTTTCGCCCTTTTTCCACAAAATTGTGGCTGGTCACATTGCTGCACCTGGCTGCGGAATCTTCCGTCGCCCATTCGAAGGTGGACGTATCCAAGTTGTCTGGAAAGTGGGAATGGTCAAACCGAAATAAAAGGAGATGCTCGTTAAGATCTCGTGAATTATCCATCCATCTGCCTAAAATCAGTAGTATATGCAAAGTTATGAAGTGGATTACCAAGTGAGATCTCCGACTTCACTTGGACGGTCTGGAATTTATCGCTCGCCCTCAGCATGGGTTTCAGAGAGCCTGGTCTTGCATCACAAACATGTTTATCGTTAGAGAACAGTGAGCGAAGTGGCAAACGTCACAATGTTGTTTTTGTTAACTTTAGCAAAGTATGTGATAAAGTCGTGTACAAACGGCTCCTTGGTAAACTCCAAGGAATGCATGAATCTGTGATGTTTCTCTCCTGGATTTCCGATTATTTGGTTGGTCGTACCATGCGGGTGATGATAAATTATGTGTGTTCCGTCTCAGTGCTTATGACCAGTAGTGTTCCATGATGGTTAGACCATAGGCATGAACTCTTCAGAATCATCATCCATGACTTACCCACCACGCTTCAGAGGGATTGCTTAATCTATGCGGATGACTTGAAGCTAGGGATGGAGGTGTCCAGTCTGGATGACGCTTATATGATGTAATTGTCACTCGATCTATTACACAACTTCTCAGTCAATTGGCACATGCCACTGACTAGCGACAAACGCTCTGTTTTCATAATTGGCGACTCTGAACCGTTCGGAGTCAATCCGAATGGTGGGTTCTTGCTCAAAAATGTTTGTCAACAGAGGAACATGGACACACTTTTGTCTCCTGACCTACGGTCAACTCAAGACACCTTGAAGAGGGCAGCCTCTACCATCACGATGTTCCATGCTATACGTAGAGCCTTCTCCCGATTCAACACATATATCTTCAAGCTTCTGTTTGCCTCAAACTTGAGGAAGTATCTCAAGTAAGGATTTCCTGCCGCCTATCTTCTCACAAAGACTGAATGTAGCCTGATTGAGAATCTTTAGCAACGCTGATCGAAAGGTATCCCGGAGTAGCGGAAGCTCTTTTACCCCTTTCGACTTCAGTGGATGAACCAGTTCCCACTGGATTTTCCTCGCCTTCCATAGAGACCTGATTCTCACTCGGCGTATTCTAAGAGGGAGCTGGAAGCTGAGATTCAGTAGTTCTTTTGGCTGAACTCTGATGGCGTGACTCATGGGCATAGCTGAAAGCTCTTTAAACCGCGAAGGCTTCGAGTAAATACTAAACTTGCTCTATCTACTCGTCTGGTAAACGACTGGAAATGATTACCTCGGCAAGTCGTTGACACACACACAGAAGGAAGTTTTAAACGACTGCTGGATTTCCATCTGACGATTATGTCATGGTTTTGTTGTTTTCAATGCCACTGCGATGCCTCGCTATGGAACATAGTTTACCATCGAATAGAGGCGTCCGCGCAATGATCGGGAAAGGATGGAGTTGACAAAGCTTCTCCCTTCTGCTTTCTACAATCCAATGAATCCAATGGATGATCCTGTCGAATTTTAATCGATGCCTATTCATTTGTATACATCGACACAGATTTTGGGTTCAAGTAACTATTAAAATTAGGTCATTGTTTGTCGCGCTCGGAAATTTTTGAACGAAATTCTTCTCCAGAAGTCTCCATCTAGCGTGTATTATTTCCACAGCACATCATATATCCGATGTGTGAATTAGCGTGGACTTCTAAATAAGCTTATAGACAGATTTATAACTCACCTTACCATCTTTATTCGACATTTCTTTGATTTCTGGAAATAAGTTGCTGCGACAATACGTACCGCTACAATATTCTCCTCTTAATTGGGAAGTGCCTGAAGGCTGCGTTCTCGTCCTTTTTGTAAATCACAAGTTAGTGACGGCGGATCAAACTAGCTTGCTTTTGAATATCTACTATTAGGTCTAGTTCAATTGAGGAAGCGGAAATACGGGAGCCTATTCAATACAATTGATATTGCAAAAATTCAACCTAACGGATTGGACGGGACGGTGGTTTTTGTTAGTTTAATAGACACTTTCATTAGGTTAGAAAACGGTTATTAGGCAGTTAAGCGCAGTCTACTAATTCGCCACGTTCTAAGTGGCCATCATTTAATGAACATGGTCAATCGCATAGACTGAACTTGTCGTCAGCGTATCGTCGTGCAAATGCTAAATGGTTACATGCCAAAGTTGTACCATTTGTTCCGCAGTAACCTAATACGGGAAATGTTGTTGAAACTTTTCTGACTTCGAATGAAATAAATAACGAACCTCAGTAGGTGCGGGAGAAAATGGCATGCTTCAAGAAATCAGTGTAATGATAGGGATAAGAAAGACAGATACCGCGTAGTGTCTCTTCTTTCTAATTGAAGTGAGCAAATCTTGTAATCCACAATAGTGGTTTAGTTGATTAATTAACAATAACAGCAATTAACCGACTGTAAGAAACATGTTCTCTGATGTTGTATTCGTGATGCTTCTTCACCGCAGTTAAGCTAAATCAACTCGTACTTAAATTAGGCCCTTTTAAGCGGGATAAATTTCATTCCACCTTATTTGGTTTGTCCTGCCTTCCTGAATAATCATCTGTTAAGTGGCTACGCAGCTTACGCATATTGTGGTTACCTTCGATAACTATGGACTTTGTTGCATTTTTGAGTAAATTCTGGATATTTTGTACTTATCACGGATTCGTTGCTAACCAACTTGCTTCATATGCTAATTTAGCGAAGAGTTATGTCATCGTATCTCTATGCATTAACAGATATATTTATTTGCAAATGTCATTTCATATGATTGTCTGTTGCTTGACAGCCCCGGTGTGGCTGCACTTGATGTGCATGTTGACAAGGTGCCTACTTGTCTATTACCTACTACCTCGTCCATACTGGCTCCAGGAACCAGTTGGCCGTTGCCGCGGGGTACGGGGTGCACGGTCCTCGTGGCCTTACTAGGCTGGAAGAGTGGTTTCATGCACGTAGTGTGAAGCGGACCCGGGTCCAACCACCGAATTGTGTGCGACCGATTCCCCAAATACAGTGTGCTTGTTTTTGCCTGTGAAGGAGTGTGTGTCGGTTCGGTTGATAAAACGTGGCTCCCATCTGCATGCCACTCGGTCTTATTCCTTCGGCTTTACACTAGATATAGGGTATGCGGTGGAACTGTGGTTGGTACAACGCAAGACACCCATGGTCCCTCTGTAGGCGTAGGCGTCCTGTCGCTGGCCACAGTGACAGACAAATCCGAAACCAGATGCCGGCAAGCATATTTGGACATAATACAAGTGAGTTCATGTGAATATACGTGTTTATAATATGCATGTTAGCAGTACTTGTAAAAGTGCATTCTGGGCAGACGGTTATATATTTCTAATGACCTTTGTATTCATTTGTTTCTGCTAGTCATCAATCTACTCAGCGTAGACAGATTCAGTCTAACCGGCTTTTCTCTTTCACCGATATTTTGATCTGGTTTTACTTCTTTGATTGTTGTTCACTTCAGCCGTTAATAACCAAATAACTGAGAGGAACTCAACATCAATAGGATTGCAGGGTCAGTAGTTTGGACCTTCACAAACCGATTCACTAGTATCGAGGCTAACCTTAAATGCCACCTAGGTGTCAGCAATGATCGTCGCAACGGTTACGTCCCGGATTACCAGATATGTATCCAGATTAGGAAAAGAAACCTTCACTCTAACCTCGTTATATTAAGAAATCGCTTTTGCAGTACGAAAGCTTCGAATGCATCCAAAGTAAACGAATACTGTATTGTTAGGTTCGTACGCGTTCTCCTAACTTGAACCGACCAAGGTTGATATGTGACAAACTAATGAACAGTTGCTCATACCGGATAGACTTCAGCTTGTTCGCCGGTAAACTCCATGAGCAGAAACGTTTGTGCTTTTTGAGTCTAGTTTGTTTGCATTGAAGGGGGATTATCACTGGCGATTAACAACCAGTAAAGCAATGTGACGGGTACTGATCGAAAGTGGCTGATGTTTTTCACCAGAGACAATACGCATTACGATGACTAGCTAAGGAGTATATGACTAACCCACTTGCCGGTTATGCTCCTTATTAGGCATTTTAAATTTAAGGATATATTTTTACATATACGTAAATATACATCGTAGATGAACCATTTCTATTCCCAACACACACTTATATGAATGGGAGATAAGATATAATTGGTAGCATCCCAGGTGTATAACAAATGGCTCTATGACATGGTTGCCTTCCATTTTAAAGTTCAACTCCATTGTTCTTGGGAAGTACCCTTTCAACAGTATGTCAGAAAGAAAACTAGAGTAATGCGATCTCCACCAGTAGCAGCCTGTTCCTTAACTGCTTCCTCAACGTGTTCATATCAAGAGATCCTGGAGCAGTATAAATTGCCTCGAAGGATTTTGGGCGGTCCCACTGGTTTCTGAAACACTGTCCAGTGACAGTGATGCGGGTCGTATGGATATGCACAGATAGATCTTCTAGTTCGTAAGTGTATTCCAGCGGAATTTCAATGTGTACTCTTCTTCCGAGTTTCCCATCAGCCAGAACAGTCATCCCAGATTTACCTGTAGCGTTTAAAGATCAAGCAGTTATATTAGCAAGCATTGTAGAATGCACCGGTTTATCACACAGTCTGACAGCCTAAGCAAATTAAATCCCTACACCACGTTTAGATTTACAATAAAAATCCGCTCACTACTTTCCTATTTCTGGTTACCTTGAATAGTACTGTAATGTCGGTGGACCTCGTAGGTATGTGACGTATGTCATTTCATGATGGCGTAAGCTTTTACACACAGCGTTTAAATTCTGCTCAACGATCTGTATCGTGCACATGAAAACTAACCTCTCCTCTATATAAGCACATGTTTGATCAACCAGTGTGCTAGAAATAAAACAAATTGCTCTCTGGAAAATAAACGAAGTTACTTGCTGGAAGTTGAAAAACATTAGCCTCCGGTGAGATGCGCTTTTTGTTGCTAGATGCCTTCACAAGTGACCAAACCAGCAGATTGCTCGTTTCCACTCGAGCAGTGGAAACTTTATAAACATTCATTTCCAAACTACTTAGATCCGCATATTTGATTAGTACTTACACTGCAATAAGTTGCGAATTAAGCGTCAATCATCGACACATTGAATTCAGTTAGTTTACGGTCATCTAAGTTTAACAAATACAGGTTGGTAAAATTACTGCTTGGTGAAAGCACTATAAACATCCTTCGGAGTCAAGTCATAAAATCAATATTATGTTGATCACATAGGCTCTTGCTAACAAAGTTTACTAAGCTGTATTCTCCATTATATCAGGTTGCGGGGTTCTATTATCATGTACTTCATTTGGGTGAAATTAAGCTAGAAAATCATAAATGATGCATGCTTGTTATTATGGCATTAATATCTCTAAATATGAGCAGATCATTATGAAATTTGCCACAAACCTTCCTTATTTATTATTTGATAAAGATAAAAGAAATAAAGTCACATTTGTTTAGTTCATATTTATTTCCATTTGCTACAGGTACCTATTCCGGTGATGAGTAAATTTATTGCAGTAGCGTTGTTACTCCTGCCAACCATCTCTTCTACGTATGTAGCTAACATTTTGCATAGCTTCTAACCTATGGCTCGGCTGTAATCTACGCAAATCTCAAGTCTGGGTGTGTTACATTTGGTAAACATGATGTCCAAAAGTTGCTTAACATTGCACTCAAGTTACATGCGGACTACAAGTGTGGGCTTCTTGAATTTAGCACGTTTCAAGCAGACACTAACGAAGAGTATGTCCTCCAAATTTTATGTAATTTTGCTCAGTATTTTTGAAATTATACTGACAGCGGTAACGCATAAGTAGGAAAACGTTGTTTTGAGAAAATGGCCTTGAAACTTTCAACATAAAACAAATGCGAGCCACTCTGTTATTTAGAACATAAATCATTTGTACACTTTCTGATGTCTCAACATATGAATTCTAACGTGGGACTAACATGGACTACTCATGGGCACTAGCAAGGTAAAAATCGTCTCTGTTTTTTCTCAACCTTGAGAGCCACCTTTCTCTGTACTTGCCGTTCACTTGATGATAGTTCTTTAGCTGCCGAATTTATTATTATTTTGCTCAACTCATTGAAACACAGTAAGATACCAAACCCAGCAGGCATATACAACATCTCAAAATAGGTAGCCTACCCTTATCTTCGTCATTGGAAACTACTGTAGCATCATAAACTGCGAGAGTTAATCTACATCTTTCAACAAAACCAGTCTCTGCATATCTTTGCCAAATGGAATTATGAAAACTCAATTGAATTTTGTGTCCCTCCATGAGCCCACTTTGACAGTAACGTCACATTGGTGCGAGATTCAGAGACGGGTTTTATGACCTCACAGACATAGGGACGGAATGCATTTCTATCCGGATCTGAAGCAGGCTGATTCGTTTCGGGGTACCATTCTCCATAGTTGAAATGGTACCAGTTCCTGTGCACCGTATGGCCCAGGTTTCTTTCCGCTTCTGTGGAATATTGTTGCAGTTTCTACGTATTGCAGCATCATAATGTCCTTGAAATTTTAGCATTACATTTCTTGACAGACAGGCTCTCTCACCAAATACCTTGTGCGTGAAGGTTTCTTTCTTCAACTCATTTATCTTGTTAATAATGTGCCGTCCCATATTTTTCTGCACATGCCCACAACATTCCACCTTTGCAATATCAATTTCAGTACACACTTGTGGTTTTGCATTTGCAATTGATGTGAATGGTTTACTGTCTCCATCTTTAAGAAAAGAAACCCAGCGCAGACCATACAAATCTTCACCCCACCTGAATATTTGTAATGCTCCAGCTAGCGCCAAGTCGCTTGCGGATCCAGTGTGATTCTTAGCACAGTTCTGAATATGGAAAATCTTCTATTCCCGGAACTCGGCCTTAGTTTTCATCTTCTGTTGTTTTACACAAGTGTTGCAACAATTACTCAGAACTGCAGTGTTCAGAACTTTTGCGTGGTGTCCATCATCAGTTAGAATAGTGACCACCGTTTTTGCTCTGGAATCCCCTTCTCTGCCATATGCTATCACCGGAGACTGTTATGGCTTCTCCTTTCTTTTCTTTTATCTCAGATGCAACTCTCTGTATAATCGTATGTGCAATTGCCTCCGTAGCCTGAAGAGTTGTCTTCTTATGAAGAAACTGAGTGTTTTATGTATACTACGGCTTGTTCATATTGCTAAGACATTGCTCGTATCTTTTCCCAATTTTTCAGTGGACATGAAATAAATGAAATGTTGACCCTGACAATGGAAAACGGACTTCGAGGCAAGCGAGCTTCTCTCTTCTGCTTCAAAGGATTTGTTCTCACCCATATGTTATCTACACTGCACAAGAAAGTATGTACCAAATTAATGAGAAAATGCAAACCTATGAGCTCCTCAGTTTTATCAAACTCAGCCTAGGAGGTTGGAGGTCTCAGTTTGGTTCTAGAAGCAGACGTAGATGGCTTGTTTGTTTCATCAGAACCATCATTTTCATCACTTCCAATTACTCGTTCCTGCTTCTTAGAGTACCGATTGTCATGAAATATAAGGTTTCTTGGTCAATCCCCTTTCTTTTACCCATAAGTAGCAAGTATTTTGTCCCATCCGTAAAATGGCTTTCTCCGCCAAACAACAGAAAATAACCGACTCCACTACTAAGCGACCTGTATGTTGTTATGAAATGAGCGCGCTGATTGCCTGAACGAAACAAGTCTTCTATAAACCGACCAAGAAAGTCTTCTCTTTCATGCTATGTTCCTTGAAAATTAGGTTTGTAGACCAATCAAAGACCAATTTACAACTTGAATGAGGGCTATAAGTCAAGTACGAGCAGAGATATTGTGTTTCGAAGATTTCGCTTACCTACTAAGCTTGAGGTCTTCGTAGATGAAGTTACACATGCTTCACCAAATGCGGAAAATGAGCTTTAAAACTCATTCCTTTTGAAACCCAGTTTATGCAGCTGTTTTATACTATGAATAACTGTGTACTAAATATGGTAACCCAAAATGATCAACTTTTCGATTTTGTTGTTAGTCCTTCACCTTAAGTGAATCTAGACCTTGTAAGATTTTGGTACAATTCAGAATATTTGAGCTGATTTTGCAGTTGTCCAGCTAGTAAATGCAACGGTGTTTTCTGAATTGGCAGATGTTATTTTGGGGGACAACTCCTGTAATATCGTGAGGATATATTGGTTGAAATTCCGTTAAGGGAGCACTTAAGTTTGCCCGTGGAGTAACCAACCAAATAGTAGGGCATATATCTCCAACCGCCAAAATTGTATATTTTTATCAATTAACTAGACAGTAAGTGCAGCTCAAACAATGTCCAAATTACTGTTGTATTAAGGAAGGGCTGGATGTGCAGGCATTATTTTCCAGGAAGATTAGCCATAGATGCAACTACATTTGGTTCGTATAATGTGCACAAACCTTCCAAAATCACTGAGAAGTTCAAAGCGGTTATTTTACTTAGCCTGTTATACGAAGAAAAAGTTGTGTCAGAAATAAGCATTACCCTTTGAAAGATAATAAGAGGAGTTGTACCAGAGGATAAGTAAAATCAAGGCTGGGGTAATTGTTTCTTAACCTCTGAGGTACTTGCTACGCTAACAAAAGTAGTGCCTCCAGCGGCACTTATAACCATTGCAAAAATTGTGTAAACCTATCTGTTGCTCAAAAAATGTTAAGGACGTACGTTAATCTCCCTGGCCTTTGTTGAAGAGCTGGACGTGTGTTGACATGGGGAATGGGTGTGACGAATGATGTGCAAAAGGTGCTGACGAATAAGCAGCACAGATAGGTAAGCATTCACATGAATGTACCTGCTTCTGGGGATAGTTCCAGTGTGGATCATTGAATGTGCTGACTTTCAGTTCTGTCGACTGGCCTAAGCAATAAAGTAGTTTACCCATCGCTTACATAGTTTTCCGCGATAGAAATGTGGTTACTTCTCTCAACCGCCGCAATTTCTCCACAAGGGTGTGATGTACTCATGTGTAGGGGGATTTTGATATAATTAATTGAGGGTCTTCGCAGCCAGCTGGCAAATCAGATGTTTTGTGAGTTTCGCCCCACATACCCCTATTTTCCCCGCACTCTTTTGTGGTTCCTCACATAGGTCCACTTTTGTCGCGCAATTGTGATTAACTCGTATGGATACTGAATCTTAACGTTATCTGCTTTTCCCATACTTTGTGTGTATTTCGCCCGTTCGTGAGTCAACTTATCGATCCTCCGTTTTTTAACGGACCAGCCTTCACTGACCTAATGCCAGCCTTCCCGCATAGCCTGTGTATATGCGTTGATTTGAAGCATTCGATTGCTTTGAACAAACGAACGTGATGGCCGGTTTGGCGTGCGACGTTGAACATTGTTTTCTACCTGGTCTTTCGTGTTCTCACTACCGTTATTGGGTAGAAGTTGTCGCGGGGCTCCGACACAACAGTTTCTTGCTCATTTGTACCAGAACTGCAACACTACATATTCACATCAACAACATAGGCCATCTTGGAGTAGACTGATGACAAGCGACCATAACGTTTTATACAGATAAGCCTTCATACTTACAATTCACCCATATAATCTGTCACTAGGTTACTGGTGCCGTCCGTGGCAATGATGGGCATCATTACTCAAGCTGCAAAATGGTATTACAATTACGCGAATCCTTCGAAACTATAATCCAGGTCAGAATCTCTAAACAGTTTCTGGTACTGGTCATCTGTCATTAACACGTCAGAGTGAATATCGTCATCTGTGCGGTTAAAATCTTTGTTCTGACGACTCTAAGCGCCATTAACTGCGATCATAACACATTAGGTCACCAGAACTGACCAATAGCAGCTTCCGCAGCAGCAGCTTCCGCTTTAGCAAGCACAAGTGTGAGAAGGTGGTGATGAAGTCAAAATTGTGGGAAACAATCCTGTTTCTCTTGTTGCTGATTTTTCGGGGGCTCTTCCAAGATACGGACTCGCAATTTTGGACAAATTTGACGTTACAAAGTCATACTGTCGGCTTATCCACGGATCGGTTTATACACGGTAATCTATGGTACTTCATATTACTTACTTTTGAGCAACGACACAAATTGTGCATGGTTAGCACAGGATTATATTATTTTGTTGTTTTCAAATACTATGACCTTTTTTCTGTGCGGTACCTAGCTTTCAGCCGTGACCAAAGGGATTGGGGCAGAATTGAACAATCACTAGCTAAGTAAACATTCCTAAGGAAGGCACAAGAAAAATGTACGTACCACTGAGGTGAAGCGTCAGCCTGAAATTACTAGACAGGAATTTATTTCGCTGTTAAGTTCTCCCATATTGATGCAGTATCCAAACAAGCCATTGACTTTTCCTTGTTTCATATAATCACCGCTTGCTCTGTAGCAACTCACCGCATTTGCTCAGTCCTAGTCAGTTTGCTACAATGCAACTCAATGAGGCAGAGTCTATATAAATTTCTTGGTTACCCGAATTAAAACTAATCTTCCAACCCAATGAAATTTGCTTTCAACGGGGACGTACAGCATTTCTTTTGAAAGATATGACTGGAAGTACCTGGAGGCTGCAAAGTAATCAGACATAAAATAAAGGAAAAATTAGATCCTCAGTATTTGATTTAATTTTCTGCGGAGCTGTAATTTATGGGCTTCATTCCTTTGAGCGTAGTTTGGTTCCCTGAGCCGGAGAAAGTAGTTTCAGACGTCCCATCTCCGTTTTAATGATCGCTTCAGTGCGTAGTAGTAAATGGTCTGATCTAATTGCCCAACCGAAAGCAACACGATATCTCCGAGAACCGAGTCAGAATCATGTGTGAACACTTGCTTTGTGATCACTCGTTGGCTTTTTTACGGTCTCGGATTGGTAACACGATAAGTCTGCCAGCCAGAAAGGAAATGAAACACTTAGTACCGAATGCATCAACGATTGCTAGTAGCCTGTTCATCCCACAGTTCTTTCATACCAACCGCTGAGAAAGGACCAAGTCTAAGCGGATTGGAAACCGTAACAACCAATGGAATCGAGCGAGCGCCAATCGCGTAGGAAAATCCCCTCAATTACGTCTTGTGAATGGCATGGATATTGTGCCATTAAGACTTCATAAACCTATCCTGCGTCGAAACTAGTTTCGCAGACGTCCATAGCAATCGATCAGATATTTTTGAATTCGCTAACAGATATCCAGTCCGGATGAAGCGTGGTTACGTATGCCTGGAATTCATCTAAAGGGCATTACATTAGCCTATGGCACCCGTAAGTAGATTTACTTGGAGGTGGGTATTTAATACTGGCTGTTTAATGATGCACACCGAAGTCCTCACTTTATTGATGATGCAACATTTGCAACACCTTTGCCCGTCTTGAGGAATCTATATACATAACTAGACAACCTGAGCTACAGGTATTCTGATATAAGACTGGTTGTAAGTGTTGCTAGCTTAGTCAGTGTGCCATTTCCCCACCTATTTGCTCCTTGCTTGTAATCAACTTTCAACAGGTAATCATGTGAAATATACTACCAAAATAGTTGGATTAGCTAAGATCTAGCAGCTTTTGTATTTCAGGTTGAGTTAACAGACTCAGAGTACTGCACCATATGTAAATGCATTAAATATAAATAGAATTAACTAACCGATGGGTCTGATGTCATCTGCGAAATTGACGGTGTTCGTAAAACGTTTCGCGTAAACAGATTTGTCTGACACTCCAGATGATCGCCGTTTGATAGAGGTTATCGATGTATGCGTCTCATCATGCGACATCGTTTGCTACCAAATTTAAGTTAGAGGAAGATAATATGACCACGGTGAATGTGTGGTGCATTCGAAGCGAAGGCAAATGAATGAAACAGAGGAATATTAAAGGAATTCGTGTACGCCGAAGCAAGTTTTTCACGACTGGAACCATCCTCACATTCGCTACCATCGTGGAGGCAGTGGTTATATGACAATATAGTTGTGTTGAAGTCAATTTGCACTTTTCAACTAGCGCTTTCACTGTTCGATGTTTAGCTAGAGAATTCTTTCTTTCTGAGACTCAGTACTTCCATTTGTCCGCCAATAACAAGTTAGTAACTCTGGCCTAGATGATGCACCTTTAGCAAAATATTAGGAACAGGCAGTCACAGTCACCTATGGCCCAACAACATGTGATCCAGGGTAGAAAGTTGAGGACAGTGGGTTTTAATTAAAGGGAGTTCCTTAAGAAATAAATTCTTCAGATGTGTCAGTTGGAAGTAACCATCCGGCACTTCCTGGAAAAGTGACGGCTTTATGACTATATCTAGCCGTGATAGTATGTGACGTGGGCATATATATTTTAATCTTGTTAGCATCATATAAACACAAAATAATGATGCATTCATGTGGTTTGTACAAAATTATTAACTGATGGTCACAAGAACTGGTGTAACCACATTCCAGTATGGTAGATGTTTTTTGCAGAAACAGGTTCGGCTGCCAACTTATCAAGAAAGTGGATTGGATATTTGGCGGATACATTTATAGGTCACATGCGAGAGATCGTGTAGATGGAAATCCATGATGCGTTGTCATAAATAGGGAGCCACTTTAAAATTTACTGTCTTTTGGAGACCGAAACTCGTGATCTCAAGACAACTATTAAGACAGTGACTTTATTTTAAACCCACTTCCTCTTCTGATTGCGCCCTGTAGCCCGTGGCTGAGACTGGAAATCTTGATCTATGTAATTCAAAGAACATGTTTGCGCAGTATCCTATACTACTGACTTGAATGACTGGGAGATTTTGCAACCGTTCTTTAAAATAAGTATTGGTATAGGTCTAAATTCGGAATGTCTAAAATCCGCACTTTTGGTGGTACCATCAGTTTCATTACTTGATGGAAAAGAAGTGTAAGACAAAACAGGCTAGGGTTGACCTGCGTTTGTCACTCATGTTTGAAGCCAAACACTTTCGATTCTGAGATCAGAGAGTGATGGATGTTTGCTACGACATGGTATGAATAAGCAAACTCATCGGCTTCTAGAAGTCATGTCTGTGTGTTGTGAGAAATTTATGATCACATGCTTTTAATTTAATTTTCGGATTATCCTAACGGCTCTACTATCGTATGATATGGCTTGTGAAACCATCGGTATTGGCAAGCTTGCACAGACGGTACTGAATCGATCTGATTTGTATAAGTGTAATCTGAAACCTGAAGCAAGACATATGAAACTCATGATAATTCACAGGGAAATCTATCCTCATCGTTTTCCATTCTATCAGTTACGATATGCTCGTTTTGGCTAACGCTCATTGTGCTTAAGAGTAATCAAAAACGGACCGCTTTTATCATAGTGATCATGACAAGAACCGAAGTTGCAAGCGTGAGTACCCACTGTTGAATTTCGTTAATCATTTTGCATAACCGCGCAATGTTCAAATAACCAATAACGCATAAAGTTTGCAAAAATACCCTATAGCACTCGCCATCTCTAGCACTCTGATCAATTTGCTGGCGAAACGCCCCACATCTAAGAGTCTTGAAGTAGTTGGTCTCGAAACAGGTAGAGTGCAGCTGGCAGCTAGTAGTTACAGCTCAAGTTAAGCCGGAATATTTTAAGCCAAATAGTATGTTTGAATCTGAGATTATCGAAACCGGAAACTGGCGTATGTATCCAGCAATACAAAAAATCTCCGTTGTATCCGCAAGTACAGCTGTTACATTCGGCCACGTCAAAACTTTCAGTATAGTCTTCTTACAGGTACAATCTACAAGGACGTTATACGGGTTTGACTCCTTTGCTTTACAATCCCCATTGGATGGTCTTGTGGGATGTTGCCACTGCTGAGTCAACGAGAGCGGGTAGATCCATTAAAGTAACACAATATCTGAGCGGTAGAAGTACTGGCAGCGGGTAGAATAAATCATACTATTAACTGTGGTTCTAGATTCGTAGTGTATGTAACAATACAGTAGACACGAATAAGTGAAGGGGCTCCCAAAGGAAGATAACGTAAAACCCGCAACTGGTTCAAGTAACAAACTTTACAAACATGCCACCAATGTGACACAGCAAAGCAAGGTGATGATGATGAGAACAAATAGTAAATTCACAACTTGAAACCGGGATGGTAGCAACCCTCCTGGGAAGCATATAAATTAGCCAAAACCAACTCATTCTACAACTGGACAAACTCATCAATTATCTTTCGAATAAACGTCTAAACTAAGCGTACTACTCATTAATTTTCAGTAGCATAGCACGTTAGTGAATTTGGCATTCACAGGGGTTATCGTAAAGAAACAGCAGCTTTAATGTCAAAAGAAAGGATTTGGCGTTTATAGTGCAGTAGTCCTGCACGCCGCGTAGTTTCACAACACTACTTCGTGACTAGTAATAAAACCAAAGTAGCTTAGCAGTAGAACGGATAGAGCATGATAAGTAATTAAACACGCGTCTGAGTCCGTCATTCAATCGCTCTTTTCACCTGGCAAGTACCAGTGCAGAAGCGGCGGATTCAGGGAGTGGTACTCTGGTGACATAGACGAATAGGAAAGAAATTGCTGCTGTACTCCAGACGGTTGTACTATACTTTTAGCTTCAATGAGTGACCTCACAATTTTGTGTCACTGTTGAGCTATTAAAGGGCGACACACAAGAATTGGATCGTGCAGGATAAAGTATGCCATTATCAGGGATCCTCGTAACTGACGATTAGGCGTCAGCAGTACGCTAGTATGGAGTACTGACGCCTTGCTACCGTGCAATCACCACTAGTCGTGCGTGGGCTTGGGATATGGTGAGGGTCGACCGAAAACCAACGACAGCTGTTTTCAAAAGTTTGAGGACGTGGAACCCCTTTAGTGGAAGCTCGCACGGCATGCCAACTGACATATTGTTTGCCATGGGACAAGACTTAATAACATGAGCATGATGCATAATATAACAAAAATATACATTACTCTACACTGATATCATACGGGTGCTCAATAATGTTGACAAAACAGTAAGGATGCTGAATGTAGGTATAAAAACAAAGTATATCAATCCTTAATGTGACGGATGAAACTTTTTTGATATACAGTGCGGACTTTGATATTCGGTGTTACTGAGGAAGACAGCAACCTCATATCTGATTGAGCTTCAAATCTATTGCGGTTCTTTGTTTTTGTATATGTTTAATGTGAACTTGCACTTTCACACGAATGGTTTGTGGCAAATGGGAGAAACACGACGACAGCCGTCTTCGTGTTACAAAAGCAATCAGACAGCGGCAAATTAGGAAAGCTTACCTGAAGAGAAGAATCTGACTCTAACTATTGCTACATGAGAATTCGACGAGGAATATGTCTGTGTCGTGTCTTCAGCTAACGATTTAGTTGTATGTCATATGTTCAACTGCCCAAATGAAAAAAATTAATTTAACGCAGGAAATGCAGAATAACCCACTATCGATGAATAAATAAATCACACTTAGAAGGAAGTGTAAAATAAAGTAATCAGCACAATTATCTTTTGTAAGGCCGCATAAATGACTTCTCTTCAACTCGCAAAGTCGAATGCACACACTTGTCAACCACCGAAATCTCCATGTTTTGCTTATGGGCCTTCCTGAGTAGGATCGCACCAACGGGCCTCTCTTTCCTATTGGCCGAGTTCGCAAGGCAGCGACTTTTGAAATGACCGCAAAAGGGGCTATATTAAATCATTTGCCTTGTCGCTCCCCGGGAGACAAATGCTGAGTTATGTGAGATTGTGTGAATGGTGAATGACTCACGCAGCCTATACAAATCGCATCACAGGAGGTTACCACAATAACCTTTCAGGATTTAACAGCTTAATTCATTGACATATGAGGCTACTGCCAAACCCCAGTTCCTTCTTGGAAGGAGTTTGATTTACATTGCCCAATCACTAGACTAATGTAGACTGTCCGACATGATTTAACAAGTTTCCATTGAAGGTTTAGCACTGGAATGTGAAATAAAATTATCACGTCAAAAACACTTTAACGGAATCATTACACTTCAGGAAGTCCCACAGGCGCACTGAAAGCATCCCCTTTAGGGGTCCGTGGACTATCCTTTGAGAAACACTGCCCTACGCAGACTGCAACTCGCGACCTGAAGATTACAAGCTGGACTTGGGATCCTTTAGGCCACGGGCCGGTAGTAACGGGTGGTACCGTCCGCTGAATAATCTCAAAGATTTCAGCCTCTCCTCGTTTTGGAGATTGCGCATTCCCCCGACGTACTTTTATGTCCAAACTTGAGGCTGCTCCAGTGCACTGGGGTAGTGTTTTAGCTATTGGTGCCAGCCTTGCATTACATACTCGAAATGGGGGTGCGCATATGCACTGAGAACCTGTGAAAGTAAAGATGTATATTTGTCCAAACGTCCGTCGCAGCAGACCAACATGTGGTTACCAGCTGTCGAAAACCTTTCGGATAGCCTGGGTCAACCCAATTTATCCTGAACCACTACTTTTATATATCGTTCGACCGAAGATAGCTGCACTACCTGCATTCCGAACCTATATGATTAGTTGCTTTGGTGTCGATTGGAGTCTATCTTATATATACTCACGTTAAATTGCAATAAATGTTGAGTTGGCTAATGATTTACCGCATTTAGGTCACACGAAAGCAAATTCTGGTTGGCATTCAGCGAAAGTCTGTGCAATATCTTGATGTCGTCGGCAAATAATATGAAATTCGAAGCAACCTCCTTTTTGACGTTATTACTAAGTCCCCAAACCATCGTGCCCCTACAAGTGAGCCATAAGGCAAACCACAACCGA